CCCCTCTTACTGGACTATGAGCTCCTTGGGTCCAGGCTTTGTGGTATGTATCTGTTTATCTCCAAGGATAGTACTTGGCAGACAATAGGCATTCAGTTCATTTATTGAATGAAATTAAATTGAATCAGAGAAATATATGGTCCCTCTCTCAAGAACTCACAATCTGTGTCTTGGAAAGTATAAAATGGACAATGTCTCATAATGTGTGTATGATGATATTATAGTATCCTTCTAACTTCTCCATCAAAGCAAAGCTAATATAGTGCTCGATGCAGCATCCCTTGAGCCCTGCCAAAAAACAAGGTTTGTGGTAATAAATCTGATGCAATTTGCCCATTACATTTGAAAAAAAGTAACTGTTAAACATAAAGATGAAAGCATTGTTATGATTATTTTATCACAGAGATCTACGTATCATTTCATCATGGTGCAATCCTTATTGGTGACCATGTTTATTCAGCTATCAGAATGGGCCTTAAGTTTTCTTGTTTGTCCATAATAAATTCAGCTCCTTTTCCACTGGGGCTCCATGAGTCATAATGCACCGTATAGTCTGTTCTTAGAGAGAATACCAAGGGTCAACGGCTAGTTGCCCTGCTAAGAGCTGAAGAGAACATCGCAGTGTGCCATCGGTCAGCCCAATGTTTTAGTTCACAAATACCCAACAAGTCACTCTATCTATCTTTGGTTTATGTGTAGGGGGAATGGCCGAACAGAATGTTCTGACACCAGCTTGTGTTAACGTTTCTACAAGGGGACCATCCAGAGATTCAGCAGGAGGAAGAGTGGGCGTGTTACTGCAGTCATGCAATAGGAACTTGGAAAACGGAATCTAAAAATGAGGAGCAAGGTTACTGCAAAAATAACTTGGCAGTAACCGAACTAACATAACTTTCATGCATAAGGGGACGGGGGAGGGCGCGAATGGTGGGATTAAATATAGGCAATCTAACAATTTTGCAACTGGAAATCTGGAAGATTGCTCTGATCCTAGTCCATTGAGTGGTAAGCCTTCCTTGGGCTGAGTGAATTACTGGTTTGTTCATTAACGCATTATACATTTAAAGTCCTAGTAGTCTTGAGGGCTAAAGTTTTAATTCCCGTATATTTTGTGGATCAACCACACACAAACCAAGTAAATCCTAACATCACCATTAGTCTCTTCAGCATAGAACTTTCTGAACTCATAGGGAAAGAAATAATATGACATAAGGAGAACTGGAGAGTTGTAAGAGTTATGAGTCAAGCTTTCATTAAGCACCTACTGTGTGCCAGGTACCATACTAGACACAGGGGATAAAAACTCCCTATGTCAATGCAGGTGGACATCTTCTCTACGATTTATTGAGTCAATTAGTTCGCAAACAGTTTCTAAGTGTTTACAGTGTGCTAGGTACTGTGCTAAATGCTGGGAGTATTAACCAAAAAAAGGAAAAAAAGAAAAAGAAAAACCAAAGTTGGTGACCTCAAGTTCTAAAGGGGGTGATTTGTTGTAGTCCACTCAGCCAGTGGGTGTCATAGATGGGACTCAGGTCTTCCTAGCCTTAAGGCCAGCTCTCTATTCACTTTGCCACATTGCCCTATTGGTAGTAACAATAATAATATCATTTAGCATTTACACAGTGTTTTAAGTTTGCTAAGCATTGTACATATGTTATCTCATCCCCACAACAACATGCCTTTGAGGTAGGTACTATCTTTATCCCCATTTTACAGATAAGGAAACTAAGAATGAGAAGGGTCAAATGGTCACAAAATTGCTAAGTGTCTGATGCAGGATTTAAACTCAGGTTTTCTTAACTCTGAGGCCAGTGCTCTTCTATGCTGTCCCACTCACTAGCTTTATACAGAATGTATATAGAATAAACACAAAGTAATCGGAGAGGTGGAGCTGGGGCAAGGACAAGACAGAGTACTAATAATTACAAGGATCAAGACAGGTTTCCTGGAGGAGGTGACATCTGGACTTTGAAGGAAGCTAGGGATTCTATCAGGAAGAGAGAGAACATTCCAGGCATGGGGGCTGAGCAAATGAATGATGATATAAGATGGAATGTCATGTATGGAGAACATTAACTTGAAGGAGAATTTGAAGTGAGATTGAGAATAACTTTGCTTTTCTAATGAATGAGTAAGGTTGGGAAACAGTAAAACAATAAATAACAGATGTTCCTAGAAAATGTAGCCTAGAGACAGTTAAGAGAGAAAAAAAAAGGAATTTCCTTAGGAAAAGATACATAGTCAACTAACATTTATTAAGCCCCTACTGTGTGTCCTGCACTATGCTAAGAGCTGGGGATACAAAGGCAAAAGAAAAAGGCAGTTCCTGTTCCCAAGGAATTTATGATCTAAGGTGGGAGACGACATGTAAATCATTGCGTGCAAACAAGAAATATATACAAGATAAACTGAGGGTAGTCTCAGAGAAAAGGCAAAGAAGCATAATCCAGGTTGTATAGTCTGAGAACAATATTGAAGGCTTATGCTAATACAACTACCAGCACCAGGAGAAACAGAACAAAACTTGTAAAAACAAAAGAATGAGAGAGAATTCTGGGGACCCTGTCATTCCTGTGCTTAGGCAAGAGTACACATATGTGCACAGACACACACACACACACACACACACACACACACACAATCTATCTTTTAAAAATTAACCTGAAAATTGTCTTCTGGACCAATGGAGAGAGACAGAGAGAGAGAGAGAGAGACAGAGAGAGAGAGAGAGAGAGAGAGAGAGAGAGAGAGAGAAGAGAGAATAGTTTTGTAAATAGAACACTGGACTCAAAACCAGGAAGACCTGGATTCAAGTCCTACATGAGATACTTACTAACTGTGTAACCCTGGGCAAGTGACTTCAGCTCTCCTTAGTCATTCCATCAGTAAGGTGAGAGGGTTGGACTCCTTGACTTTTTTTTGTTGTTGTTGTTGTGTCTGATTCTTCGAGACCCTGTCTGAGGTTTTCTTGGCAAAGATCCTGGAGTGGTTTGGCATTTCCTTCTCTAGATCATTTTACAGATGAGGAACTGAGGCAAACAGGGTTAAGTGACTTGCCCAAGGTGACACAGCTAGTAAGCATCTGAGGCCTCATTTGAACTCCAGTCTTCCTGACTCCAGGCCCAGCACCTTATGCACTCTGCCACCTAGCTACCTCCCATGACTTCTAAGGTCCCTTCCAATCCTATGATCTTACAGTATGAAGATCATCTTGAATCAAAGTACCTACAACACTCATCCTATGTGACTAAACTAGCAAATCACTTACAAATGAATAGAGGCGAAAAGCAGGAGAGAAAGGGTCCTAGAAATAGTCTTGTCGTTTTCCTTTATAATATTTTTAGCAATGTCACAGGTAGTGGAAAGAATGTTGCATCTAGAGTAAGAAGGCCTGGGTTCCAAATCCATTTCTAATACTTGATACCTGGCTAATTTGGGGGATGGGGGTAGGGAAATCACTGTATCTTCTGGGCCTCATCTATAAAATGTCTAGTTGTGAAACATGTAATGCTCCCAAATCCACAACCGAACCAGATGAAAATATAACTGGGAAATATTAAAGAAAAAATAAAAATACAATAGTACAGAGATAGTGTTAGTATATGGCTTTCTAAGCCAAGATGCAGATTCCACTGTATAATTACAAGCCAAAAAATCAACGTATGCTAGGTGGTGTACCATTCTATAAACTGCAAACTAAGAATGATAAAACTATCAATGTAATGTAGTATTTGCTAACTTTACTATACTTTTTTGCATATGTGTATATGGAGAGGTGGTAGGGATTATAAATTTAATTTAAGCAAATTTTAAAAACTATATGTTTTATGACAAAAGGCCTTTAACTAAAGATAGTCAAAGCCCTGATATATATTTGCTATAAAGAGAATAATGAGTTTTGTTTTGCTGATATTCAAAGTTACTTAGTAGAGACTTGTTTCCAGTTTAAAAAAAAATTACAGTCCTATGTATGGTTTAGTGACCCGGTTTCTATTTGAGCTTGATAGGGCCACTTTAGGTGACCTCTAAGGTCTCTCCTGCCTCTGATCCTATGATCCCTGCTCTTTGCCATGTTAGAGATCAAAGGCAGCAAGAAAACAAATATCACCATCTTTTCCACAAACATGATCTGGTCTAATATACAAGGTATTTTTTTTAATTGTGGAAGAGAGGCAATTTGTAAGAAAAAAATGAAATTCTACTGTGTGTCAGCTCTTAGAGGCTAATGATGTTTATACAGACATACCACACTGATGGAATAGTCCCAAAATTCCCTTCACTGTACCAAAAAAAAAAAAAGTGGGGAGAGGAGTGACCCAGCCCTCCCTTCCCCCCGCCCCTTCCTGCTCAGCAACCTGTACTTGACCCTCCCGAGCCTGGCTGTGCTCTGCCTCCATCCCGCCCCGCTGGAGCCAGCTCACTGATACCAGGCAGCTGATGCTCGCCCTCGTCCAAAACACACTTCTTGAAAACACCCACCCATCGCATACTTGGGAGGTGGGGGCGGTGCTGGGCTGGCGGGCCGGCCAGTGGGGGAAGGGATCGGGGAAGAGAAAAGGACCCACCTTTTGGATCGCAACCTCGGTGGATTTTCCCTCTGTTCCATGGCGTAAACTGGGCTGGCCAGGACGTACGGGATGCCTCCGAGGCTGAGGCTGCCACTGCTTCTGTTTGCCAAGTACTACAAGTGTGGAGAGAAGCGAGTCCACTTGAAGGATGCAAATATTTCAAATGCCTGGTTTTTGTTTTGTTTTGTTTTTTTAATTTCTAGGAGGAGGGAGATTTTGTTTTGGACTCATGCAGTAGCAAGAAAAGGAGGGAGATGAAGAAATGAGCCGGGATGAAAGAAATATTCGTTCTGGCTATTTGGCGGAATGAATGAATGAATGAATGAATGAATGAGTGAATGAATGAATGATGAGCCCCATCAAGGAAGCAAGGATGAGCCTAATAGAAAGGTCCCCTAAAATGCTAAAGAAAACTTTATTTTTTTTCTTTAGTTCTGAGGAGAAAAGAACCTGTGAATCACCCACCCCACAAACAGAAAACTCTTTGAACCAGAGCTGTCCTGATACAGGAGGACCATTACTAAAGGAACAGGATTGAAACTAATATTTGAATATTCTCTGGTCTTTTGCGTTAAAAAGAAATGCTATTTTCTTCTGTCTCATCAAAAATAAAGATTCCTGGGGTTCTAAAAATAATCTTAGAAATAATCTCTCATCCTCCATGCTTCCTTCAACTCCATGGTCCTTGTCGCCTGAAATCAGTGGTATCAAGCCATATTACTAAATTAAAAACAAAAAAATCAACCAACACAGAGGGAACCCATTTTGTGCCGAGAGACAGAGAGAGAGAGAGAGAGAGACAGAAAGGGAGAGGCAGAGACACGGAGACAGAGATATAGAGAGAGAAAAAGAAAGAAGCAGAGCGAGAAACAGAAAGAATGAGACAGACATACACAGAGGCTAAAGATCTTATCAAGAAGCTTCTTAAATATCAGGTTTTACGTGGCAGTATTTGAACGATTTAATTGCTAATTAATCTCCATTTCCCCACACCGTTAAAATGGGCTAAATTGCACTTAAGATGTTCATAGCTTTAAAAATGAAGTGGAGCGTCGGGGGAGGGGTGGTAGGGAGTGTGGGGGGGGGAGTGGGGAAGGGATTGACTTGGACATTTAGATAAAGTCATTTGAAAACCATTTCAAGATTTTCAAAGTCCTCAAGTCTTCATGTTGCAAAATCCCAAACTAAAATAACATGCCTGTGATGTCATTCCTTCCCAAATAACTCTTCAGCCTCATTCCCTACTCTTGCCGTCTCCTTCCCCTCCCTGCAGCTCCTGCCCCATTCTTTCATCACCAGAAGTCCCCTCTTCAGTCAGTGGGAGCTCCAAGTTGGCCATGGGCCTGGAGAATGTCTAGAGAGAATGAAGAAGGTCCACCCAGAGTTTCCTCAGTGTGCCTTCTCACAGTTGGGTGCATTTGTGATTACCTCAGGAACGCTCCCCAAAGGAGGACACTGTGTGCAGTCACTGGATTTTCCTGCCCTCATTTGTCAGTGTGATGTCTGAGTGAGGTGGCTCCAGGAAGGAGAGGAAGTGGGGGAGGGTGATGCTAAGGGCAGGCAGTACAAGGAACTGCAGCTGCTTCTGCGACAAAAAATCACTAGGATGTGTTTCCCTCAAAGAATGTTTTCAAAACACCTAAGTTTTGTCTAGCACTCAAGGCCCATCAACTAACTGTTCCCCACTGCTCCTGCCTCCTAACCGTTAACTTTCTAGTCTAGTACTGCTTCCCAAAATAAGTCTTACTCTCAACAAAGTTAATCAGCTTACTTTTTTTGTGTAAAACTTACTCATGCCTGTCCCTAAGCCTTTGCTAAAGTCACATCTTTTATTTGGAATGCCCTTCCTGTCTTTTGCCAATCCATAACCACTTCCTTTAAAACAACTCAAAATTTACCTTCCAAAAATCTTCCCAGATTAACTCACCTCATTCTGATCTGTGCTTTGCCCTACCTTTTTTTAAGTTGTTTGTGTATATTCAATTTACACCAAAGTCCTTTGGATTTACTAATACGATGCTCTGTAATTTCTTTCTTGTAGTTTCACGTATTTGTTTGTTCTCCCCAAGTAAACTTCAAATTTTTCAAGGGCAGGGAACAGGTTTTTCCTCTGTTTCCCACTGCTCAACACTTAGTGTTCTAGAAGTAAATAATTGTCAAGAGAAAATGGAGCAAATGCTGTGTAATTGAGTCATGGAGGTCATTGACCATAATAACCAATTCCAGTTTGACCTACTTGCCCATAATGACTGAGACAAGGACCCTATTCCTTCACTGACAGAATCCTCAGGATGAGCTTGATGGCTGCATGCTGGAGTCATATCAGTTCTGGTGCAGGTTTTAGGTGTGAGAGCCTGAGCAAACAGAAGGAAGAGGGGCCATGTCCTTGAATCAGCTACAGCATTCCCACACCCAAGAGTCCCAGCTGAATTCTGATGACACTGATGCACAGTAGACTGATGAAATAAGGCAACTAACCAGCTGGCACAGCAGATAGAGCACTGGATCTGGGATTGGGAAGACCTGAGTTCAAATCTGGCCACATGACCATAGGCATATTACTTCACCTCCATCTGTCTCCATTTCCTCACCTGCAAAATGGAAATAATAACATTATCTCCCTCCCAGGGTTGTTGGGAAGATAAAATATGGAAAGCACATAGCTATAGAAATGCTGGCTATTGTCCACCTGTGAGAGTCATCCATCATTCATATTGCCTGCTAATGCAAACTGAGAGAAAATACAGAGCGACTCTTCCCTTGGCTTCCCCTATCCAGCCCCAAATGGGACACATCATTTTCTTATTCCAGGATGAATTTCCCAGGCTTATAGCTTTCCCCACTACTGCCTGGAGAGCCGGAGGCTGCACTCATTTTGCGTATATAGAGGGGAACTGAGAATGATTCTATTGCCCATTATTTTCTTCTGCGAGTTATATAAAATACTTGTCATTTGATTTGTGGATCATCATGGTGTATAAATAGATAATGGACATTCTATTGGCAGCTCAAGTTATAATTTCATGATAAATAACTAATATTTATATAACAGTTTAAAGTTTGGAAAGCACTTATGTATACTAATGATAATACTACTAATAATAGCTAGCATTTCTATAGCACCTACTATGTTCCAAGCACTGTGCTAGGTGCTTTGCAAATATTATCTCATTTGTATCATTACAAAAACCCTAGGAGATAGGCGCATGTATATATCTATATAATATCTATATAATACATATTCATATATGTATGTATAAATACATATTTATATGTGCATATATAAACTATATATACACACATATGTAATATATTTTGGATGTGTATATTAATTGAATCCCCACAATTTTGTGAAGTACTATGATTACCTCTATTGTACAGCTGAGAAAACTGAACTTCAGTGACTTATCTAAGGTCACAAGTTTTAAGTGTCTGAGGCAGGATTCAAACTCAGCTCTTCCTACTTCCAAGTCTAACACTCTATCTGCTACACTACCTACCTGCCTCATTTGAACACAGCCCCTCCCCAGAACCCAAGATAATCATAGGAATCAGAGTAAAGGAGGGAGAAGAGTCTGGGCTACAATATTATAAACTTCCTTTTCTGATAAAAGATGTACTTGTATTGAATTATAGAAAAAGCAGTGGCATATGACCTGTGCTTTCATTAGTAAAAGGAACTCTCAGAGGTAGACACTCCCTCTTTTCTTAAAGTGTTGCCTAGAGTATATTAAATAATTTGTTCAGGAATACAGCCATTATGTGTCAGAGATAGGGCTTGAAGGTCTTCCTGGCTCCAGGGTCAGCTCTATCTGATATACCAAACTGCCTTCCTAGAGAGAGCCATACTTGTATAAAATGTGACATGGAAGTAATTTGTCCCATGAACCTGCCTATCCATAGCAGAAAATGAATATTTTTCACCTACAGGGATCCTGATATAATTAATAATATTGGTAGGGGTTACCTTTTCTGACCATTTGCAAAATTTTCTCCAAATATTTTAGGAGAAAATATTCACTGGTGAATTTCCATCGATCCATAGCTGAAGACAGCCTGCCCCCTTGGTATCTGTCCCTGGAAAACTCATCCTAGCAAGCCCAGAGAGAATCCTTTGAGCAGCCTGAGGGAAAAGAAACTCTGGGAATGGCACCATCCAGGGGAGACAGAGAGCATCACACAGAGAGCTCACGAGAAACAGAAATCGGAGGTAGCCCCATTGACCTTCCTGCTGGACCCTAATTCTATTGTTCCTCACCTTTTACTCTTCTCTCTGTGCTCTTCTGTTCTCCAAAGTGTTCTCTTTGTTTCATATGTTTGCTTTTGCTGGTTGAAAATGAAAGAATTCTTTTTTCCTATTCACCAAAAGGACTTATGAGTTATTCAAAGCTCTGGATAAATATTTGCTTCTAGCAAGTTTAATTAAAGCCCCCAAAACTTTGATGAAAGGTGAAAAATGAGCAAATTTTTTTTTTAGCAAGGCAAATGGTGCGGGGTAAATGAATTGCCTTTGAAATTATGAATACAGTGAGATGTTGAATATCATTTCCTGTCATTCTATTATTTTGTTTTAAACTTAAGAAGTACACTGATTACTCATGCACTAAAAGGTTGTTATAAAAACCGGTATCAGGAGACAAGGACAGCATCCAACATAGGTTTGCTCCATTTTTAGGTTTTAGTTTGTTTTTTTCCTTTACTTCCCACCTATTTCTAAAAATGATTTTAGGTGGCAACTTTATCTTTTCCTGTGAGAGTTATGCGAGATAACACCATGTGCAGGGAGGATGTGATTTGACCCAAAGGGCAATAAAATCTACATAATACATCATAAGAGGCTTCATAGCAGAGTTGGGTTGTATGTTTTTTATAATGAAACAAGTGACAGGATTAGAGGTCCTTAGATGGTCTGTCATTTGGCAGGGGGTGCTACATAGAGGATTCTGGTTCAGGTACAAGTTAGTTTCTGTGCTTCTGTGAGCTCTAATTTTGGTAAGATACCAATAGAAGAGCCATGAAAATCAGTATGAGTCCACTGGTCACAAAGATGTCCTGAAAGAAAATTAATCTGATGGATGATGGTTCTCGCTCTGCTATTATGCAAATTCAACTTTAGGTAAAGAATTCTGAAAGAAATTTGCATTCCAAAAAAAACCTATGTTAACTTTACTGCATAGTACTGTGTTCTCTTCTCTCTCTCTCTCTCTCTCTCTCTCTCTCTCTCTCTCTCTCTCCCCCCCTCCCCCCCCTCTCTCTCTCTGTCTTTCTGTGTCTCTCATTCTCTCTCTCTGTCTCTCTCATTCTCTCATTTTCTCTGTCTCTCTGTATGTCTCTCTCTGTCTGTCTCTCTCTCTCTCTCTCTCTTTGTGTGTGTCTCTCTCCTCCTGCTCCTCACTAGGTGCTCTGAATCCTCCCCCCTCCCAAAGAAACCCTCCAAGTGAAAGCAGAAGAACAGATACTCAGAGAGACCTCTACTCTGCCACTGGATGGAGGCTGGAGAGATTTAGACCAT